AGGGGGGGGGGGGGACAACCAAACAAAAAAAAACCCCAAAATTGTGCTGAGCACGGTGCTTTGAAAGGCGGGTGGGGGGAAACAGCTCAGAATCCTGGTTTTGCTCCGCCGCCAGATCAGCTACGGCCCTGGCTCCGTCCCTGGGTCATCGCGTGGGTTTGTCACCCCCTGCTTGAGCACAGCACACCGGATGAAAAAGCACCCCAGCATCCCAAGATACAGCTTCATTTTCCTGTGGATTTTGGCAGCTCCTTATCTCTGGTTGTTAAATCGCCCCCTGCTCCATGATAGGCGGCGAGAGGTGGAAGATGTCCTGTGGCTCCTCAGCCAGAGCTTTCTGCTCCAGCGTTGTCTTCGGATAAACACCCATCCTTTGCTCGCTCAACTACAGAATCACAGAATCACAGAATGGTCGGGGTTGGCAGGGACCTCTGTGGGTCACCCAGTCCAGCTTCAGTTTGTGCCCGTTGCCCCTTGTCCTGTCGCTGGGCACCACTGGAAAGAGTCTGGCCCCGTCCTCCTGACCCCCACCCTGCAGATATTTAGAGGCATTTCGAAGGTCCCCTCTCAGCCTTCTCTTCTCCAGGCTGAACAAGCCCAGCTCCCTCAGCCTCTCCTCATAGGAGAGATGCTCCAGTCCCCTCCTCATCCTCGTAGCCCTCTGCGGGACTCTCTCCAGTAGATCCTCATCTTTCTTGAACTGGGGAGCCCAGAACTGGACAGAGTACTCCAGGTGGGGCCTCACCAGGGCAGAGGGGAAGGAGAACCTCCCTCGACCTGCTGGCCACACTCCTCTTGATGCACCCCAGGATCCCATTGGCCTTCTTGGCACCCAGGGCACACTGCTGGCTCATGGTCACCCTGTCGTCCACCAGCACACCCAGGTCCCTCTCCACAGAGCTGCTCTCCAGCAGGTCCACAGGCAGATGACCTCGTGTTGAGTGCTTCTTCTGGAGGGTTGGGGAGGCAGAAGCACCACGATTGGTCTTATAACTGGAAGGTAAAGCTGTGTTTGGGGAACCCAGCACTGCCCAGACAGTGGGGGCTTCGGTGGGAGCCCTCTGAGCAGGGAGGTCTCCTTCCCCCTCCTCACTCGAGCGAGCTTTCCCCGGATCTGAATACCCAGCGGTTGGAAAAAGGGCCCGTGGCCAGCCTAGGAGCTGTTGGCAGCTGGAGAGATTGGAAACTGGGGGTATTTGTGGCAGCTGCGGATGTACTCAGCAGCTTTTGCTGGTCTGTAACGGCGCAGGTGATGTCCGTGTGGAACATCAGGGAGGTCAGAAGAGGAAAACGGGAGGAGATCGCGCACTCCCGGATGGAGACGGTGCCTTCCCAGCTATGGGAAGTGCTGGCTGTTGCTCAAGTGTGTCGTGACGCGGGGCCGATCTCGTTTCTGAAATGAGAAATTAAAAAAAAAAAAGAGATTGAATCTGGAAGGGAGAAGTTTGGGGGGTTACAGCAAGAGCGGTACGTTGGCCTCTGTTCATGTTTCCCTCTGTTTTGGTTGCAGGCTCAGACATCAAGCACACAAAGAGCTTTACGCCTACAAACAGGTGAGGCGGCGCGCGGTATCTCGCCTTGTTCTCTGCTGCTCAGCACCAAACCCACGCTGGGGCGGTCACTTCTTCTCCCTGGGAGGCTTTTGGTCCTTCAAGAGAAGTTGTAACACCCTGGGCAGGCCTCTGTCCCCGCTGATTTGTTTTCTGCCAGCTGGGAGCATCTCTTACCTGTCAGTCTGCAGGTTTCAGCACTTTCAGGTGAGGTCCCTGAGCGGTGGGGACATCTCCCCCCCTGGAGCACCTCAACTGGGCAACCTCTCCAAACCCTCACCTGATCTGAGCGGTAACGCCGTCGCTTCCCCAGCGCTCAAATGATGTTTTGTGGGGTCTGAGTCCGCTCCCCGGGTTGGACCCGGCTGCTTGGGACCGCTCGCAGCCGCGGGGCTCTCGTGGGGAACACCTCCACGTCGCCTTGGCAAACCCCCACGTGCCAGCACCCTGGTTAGAATGAACACAGCCCAGAGATCGGTGTCACGCTGCTGCTTCGACCTAACCTGTCTTCTCCAGGACTTGCGTAGCTTCTCTGCCTCCCGATCCGTCGCTCCAGCAGGGAACTGGGTGGAGTTGGGCTGATTCCATACGACAGCCCGCGCTTGTCCCGCATTTATTGCCCTCCCCAGGGCAATAAATTTCAGCCTGGATGGCTGAAATTTTCAGCCTGGATGGAGTGAAGATGAAATGGCTGTGCCGCCTTTACTGGGGGTTTCCAGTTCTACTGGGACGCTAAACGGGATCTCGATTTTACAGAGCTTTTTGCTGCAAACGCTGTGTCCTGACCCCGGCGCTCTGTCTTACAGGTTATACTCAAGGAGAAGGTGAAGGAGCTGAACCTACACGAGGTGAGTATGTCCCTCACCCTCCTCTTCCTCGGGCTGGGGAGGGGATGAGGCACAGGCAGAGGCTGGCACGGGTAGGAAGGTGCAAAAACTCAAATTTTAGCTCCTTCGGGAGCAAAACACGCAGCTGGGAGCGCTGGCGTCGCTGCCCGCGGCACAGTTTGCTCTGCAGCCTCCTGCCCCGCTGCAGGGAGCACGGGGGGAGCAGCTGAAGGGCTGCGCCGGCCCCCCCATCCCTCCCCGGCACCGCTTGGCTTTCTCAGAAAGTCCGGTGGCTTGTGAGTTCAGGTGGCGAACGCACGTCTGCAGAGGGGGTCTGGGTTAAACCATCTCCCTCCTCCTGGGTCCCTTTTAGCTTTTACTGCATCATTATTACTTATTGCATTGTTATTATTATTATCTGCATTATTATTGATTGCATTATTATTATTTACAGCATTAATTTTATTAGTTATGGCATTATTTTTATTATTTACCGCATCCTTATTTTCATATTATTATTATTATTAATATCATCATCATCACTGCGATGAAAAGCTGTGGATAAAAAGGAGGCGGGTTGAGAACTGGATTGAGGTGGACTGAGAACTGGCTGAATGGCAGAACTCAGAGGGTTGTCATCAGCGGTGCTGAGTCTAGTTGGAGGCTGGTGACAAGTGGTGTCCCCCAGGGGTCAGTACTGGGCCCAGCCTTGTTTAACTTCTTCATCAACGACCTGGATGAAGAGTTAGAGTGTACCCTCAGCAAGTTTGTGCTGATGACACCAAACTGGGAGGTGTGGTAGATACACCAGAAGGCTGTGCTGCCGTTCAGCGTGACCTGGATAGGCTGGAAAGCTGGGCAGAGAGGAACCTGATGAGGTTCAGCAAGGTCAAGGGCAGGGTTCTGCACCTGGGGAGGAACAACCCCAGGCACCAGTACAGGCTGGGGCTGACCTGCTGGAGAGCAGCTCTGCGGAGAGGGACTGGGAGTGCTGGGGGATGACAGGGTGACCATGAGCCAGCAGCGTGCCCTGGGTGCCA